CCCCCCCCCCCAGAAAAACACCAGGCACAAACCTAGGAGCAAATTTGTCTCTATGAACCTTAAGGACTGTGGTATAACACAAACAACCAAAGGACCTAAGATGAGAATAAAAAGGGGGCTTCCCATAGAGCAATTCAAAAGGGGTTCTATTCTTCAAGAGAGAGGTAGGGAACCTGTTAATGAGATAGGTGGCAGTGAGGATGCAATCCCCAAAAAAAAAAACAGGCAACTTGGACTGGAACAACAAGGCCCTAGCAGTTTCTAGCAAGTATATGTGTTTTCTCTTTACTACACCATTTTGCTGAGGAGTGTGAGGGCAGGATGTCTGGTGAATGATCCCCTTTTCTGAGAAAAATTTAGAACCAGTGGAACTGGACCCCAATTCCTAAGCATTGTCACTCCTAACAGTCTATACATAAGAATGAAAATGAGTTTCTACCATGGCAATGAAACTCTTGAGAAGATCAAAAGAATTACTTTTGGCTCCTAAAAGGTGAGTCCAGGTTGCCCTAGAGTAGTCATCCACAATGGTGAGGAAATATCTAGCACCATTAGAAGTAGGAGAGTGATAGGGGCCCCAGGTATCAATTTGGATCAATTAGAAATGAGTTGTAGAATGAATGGTACTGTCAGAAAAAAAGGGAGTCTAGTTTGTCTTGCTAGGGGACACACTGGACAAGGGAAGGACTGCTTGCTAGAAAGAGAGGAATTGATAATAGATATATTTTTCATTCTAGAAAAAGGAATGTGCCCAAGCCTAAAATGCCAAAGAACATCCATTTTATTAGAAGTAGCATGAGTAGAATTACAAATTGGAGCAGTAGATTCATTTGAAATATCACATGCAACAGAATTAGGAAAAGTAAGATCAACACTAGAAACACAAATTGAAGAGTTAAACACAGGAATCTGCAGCTTGTATAGGCCATTGTCCAGTTTACCAAGAGCCAATGACTTCTTCAGAAAAGGGTCCTGTAAGACACACAAAGCCTTAGTAAACTGTGCAATCCCATCAAATTGACTGACCAATTGATGGAATGAAATGAGATTATATTGAAAACTAGGGACATAAAGCACATTATGCAAAGTGAAATTGGGGAACAAAGTTAGAGATCCATAATTGTAGACCTTAACCTTGTAACTATTTGGAAGGAAAACAAGACAAAGAATGTCAAGGGGTTGTATATTGAAGGGAAGAGATTTAAGATAGGTCATATGATTAGATGCACCAGAATCTATTATCCAATCAGAAAGAGTGACTTGGGAAAACAAAGCAGGTTTAAGTAAAATACTGTGAGTGGCCACCCTACCAGCAAAATATGCTGAAGATTTGAGTGAGGTAGATGAATCAGGGTAGACATGAGTCTGTTGTAGAAGATGAATCAACTGGGAGTATTGTGCCTTTGTCAAACCAAGAACCCCAACAGATTTTTTAGAACAGTTGAGAGGGCCTACACAAGTAGCTGAATCAGAAGGACATTGCTGAGAAGAAAAGGAATCAACCGCCACATGTGCTGAAGCCTTTCTGGCACTAAGATTCTTAGTGAATTTGAAACCTTGTGGAAAGCCATAGAGCTTATAGCATTTCTCAATGTTGTGACCAGGCTTCTTACAATATTTGCAAATAATGGATGACTTCTGGGAATCAAAGCTCACCTTGGGAGCATATGGCTGTTTAGAGACCCCAGAATTGAAAGAGGCAGATTCTGAAGAGAAGTGAGAAGCAGCAGACGCCTACCTCTGTTTCTCATCTCTCAAAAGGATATTGTATACAATGTCAATGGAATGAAGGGGCTTTATCATGAGTATGTTTCTCCTAACTTGCACATATGTATCATTGAGACCCATAAGGAATTGATACACCCTATGTTCTGCCTCAGACTTTATACTACCACCACATGTATACCTATTATCTGAGCTAGCAGACAATGAAACAAGCTCATCCCAGAGCTGCTATAGCTTGTTGAAATATGCAGCTATGTCAAGAGAACCCTAAGAGATATGAGCTATCTCTTTTTTCAATTCAAACACCCTTGCACCATAAGCTTGCCCATACCTAGCCTCAAGTTCCTTCCAGATGTTTGTTGCATACTCAGGATACACAACAATGCGATGAATGTCCTTAGTAATAGAGTTGGCAAGCCATGCAACAACCAGGTCATTGCACCTTTGCCATTAGCGAAGAAGAGGAAAACCTTCAGAAGGACTCTCAGAAATAAAATCCAACTTATTCCTAACAGAGAAAGCAACTAGGATGGACCTACGCCAACTGCCGTAGCACGAGCCATCAAAAGGCTCAGTGACCAAGGAAGATCCTAACAAATCAAATGGATGCACATATAGGGGGTGGCATGGGTGTGTGTAATCATCAAGATGAAAAGGAAGACGAGAACTCGGAGTCCCATGGTCAAGGGAAGGGGAGTTATCAGAAGTAGAAGAGGTCGAGGTTCCGGTTGTGATAGCCATTAATCAAAAGAACAAAACTTGAGAGAACAACCAATCTCACACAAATTTAAGCTTTAACCACAAAAGTAAAACAAAACCCTAAAATATGCAGTTGATATGAAGATGAGGAAATAATGTACCAAATTCTTCGCGACCGGAAGAATACGACCCTGTAAACAACTCGCACAAACAGTAAATCGGTTGAAACGGCGAAGAGGTTTCACAAATCAACAAATCCTAACCAAATTGAGTGAACGAAGTACTTGAAAATTGAAGACGGGATCGTCATAATCCAAGCTCCAAAACCTCAATAAAAGCAAGCGAGCTAAGATAGAAACCTTCAGAGGCGACCAATCTTCAACACACAAAATATGACGATCGAACAAACTAACGAGGAAGGAGAAATCTCCAGTGAAACTCGTCGAGGTTACCATCGGAGGATAGAGAATCACGAGCATTATGAGATTCCTCACTCTGATACCATGTTAACAACGGAAAATCAGTGAAATCAATGGAGTTCGACTTAGGGTTTATTGTGTTTAGAATAGAGAGAAGAGAAAGTTTTTTTAATTAGAAACTTCTGAAAATTGAAAATGAATAATCCGTTCAATACAATGTGTAACTCAGCCTATATAGTTGACCCGAGAGTCCAACTAAGCCCAAATCACTAAGCTGAACAAAACAGAAAAATTAAATACATGTGGGCTCAGCCCAGTACAAATAATAAAGGAGGATATTAAACCCATGACTAAATAATTCCCACATGTTATCTATTGTATTGTATCGTATTGTTACTTTAAATACAATGTTTGTTTTGATTGTTAATTTAATTTTATTGTATCGTATCGTTAAATCCATCGTTACGTAACGACGAAAAGTGCCACTTTATGAAACGACGGATTTGGTGTGGTGGCGTCGTTTCCTTACTTTTTTCTCTCATATTGCCCTTCCTTATTATTAAATAATCATATTTTATCCTTTATCCTATTTTTTTATATAGTAATTTTATTCCGTATTATATTTTTTCTTAGTAATATTACAAGTTTATTCTTCATATTATTGGTAGGTGATATCATGAAACGATAACAAACGATACAATCTATCCAAATATTTTATTTATCAAATAATATAATACAGTACAGTACAATATAATACGATACATTATAAAACAACATATAACAACGATCCAAACAAGTTGTAAGCATGTCTGTCTTTTTTTGGGATGGGAAGAGGTTGCCGAAAGGATGCGGATTGAAGAGTGTAAATTCCATCAATAAAAGGGTAATGAATAAAATAGTTGTATTATTCCTTCTATCCTAATTCATATAATAATATTCTTTGTATTTCGGATGTATTGAAGTATTTTGCATTATTTAATCAGTAAAATTATTATAGTTTATAAAAACTCAAAAAGAAAATTAAATCATTTACCGCATTTGATGTTATGATAATTCTTTGTCAAAGTTTTAAATGAATATAAGAAATTTTCTTCAAACTTAACATTGGTGGAATGCTACTTTAAATTTCGTAAATGTTAGCTAGTAGAGAACGACAGGTAATGACGGGTTCAATTGAATTCTCGTCAAAAAAATCGTGTTGCACAAATATGAAAAAATAACTTTGAATTCCCTTAATTTACTACTTTAGGTGGAAACTTTGAAAATTTTGAATTCTTAATAAAAAAATATAATTCCGCCACCAAATAGAATAAAAAGGTTAAATTAAAAAAAAGTATTTTATATGAGCTCATGCTTTAAGCAGTCATTTTCAGGGAAAGGCCCCATCAAATTCTCCATTATCAATCATCGTCCCTGAAAATCAATAACCTTTCATCATTCGCAATGGAACGTTTGACGGTACATTGCACTTAGCTGGCTGACGTGGATACTTTAAACATTATTATTATGTGATTTCCCCAAGATATTGTTTTTAATATCTAAGAGAATACTGAAAAGGAAAACTCAAAAATAAAAACAAAAATGAAATATATATTCACATGCCCCAATATTCTCAGATCTTTTTTCCTTTTTACACTGAAGTTATTCCATTTTCTTGATAATACCAGTGATAGTGTAATGTTGAAATACTTAAATTAAAATAATGATCGAAATAGCCCACAATAAAAGAGTTTGAAATAGATCTAAGTGACCAATTAATTTTTTTGCTTAAACAGGTATCACTTTCGACTGGGGCAAGTTTTTTTGTTGTCGACCATTTTAGCCGCCATTAATGGCAGCTACTAAGCATGCAGAAAAGGGTATGAGTTCTCTTTCTGATACTAATATTATAAAACTAGTACTTCAAGACTAATACCGGCGAAGCCAGATTGTCGATAACCAAATAATTTTGATTCAAATCATCTATATTTATTTTAAAAAATTTATTATATAAATATAAATTATTAATTTAGAACCAACTAAATTAAAAAAGATTGACTCTTAAACCCATAAGTATGAAATCTTAACTCTCAAGACTAATGTTTATTACAAGTTTCTTCATGGGAGTATAATTATCATTAAATTAAAGTACCGTTTTTAATAAGGAGGTCATAAGGTAATATTGTAGGAGGGAAAGTAAATAACTACATACAATATGTAGAGAAATATTATTACCATTAAACTTTACTAAGCACAAAGCCAGACAATTTCAAAGTTGGAATTCTGTTCTTCCTCTACAGAGGAGAATTTTAAATAAAAAAAAAAAGGACAAAAATATATGAGTCATCACGAAGATTTATCGTATCTTAAAAAATTCCAAGAATTTCTCATGGCTGACACTTCTTCCTTTTACAGCTTTTCTACTTCCTCAAGAGACAAAAAATTCACAATCCCATTCTTGAAGAAGAGAAAAGAGATACAGAAAGGGACAATGTATTCAGTGACATGTGATCATCTTTAGACCTCTCAATCTTCTTTCTTTGTTCTTTAGTTCCATGACATTATTCAGTTCTCTTCCCTATTTACCTGAAACACAACAAACCAAAAAACAATATTATAATCTGACAGACAATCAAGAAATCTTTTTAATTTAACTACATAGGCGGAGCTAGCTATATATACTACTAAAAACTAGAATTAGTGATGAACAAATTCTTTAGCAAAAAAAAAAAAAAAAAATCATCGCTAATCTTATTTAGCGACAAATTATTAAGAAATTCTGTTAGCTACGAGTGATTTAGCGACATATAAGTGATGAAGTTTGTAGCTAATTCCAGTTTCTTTTATTGTAACTACATGCATAGGCGGAGCTAGAGCAAGTTCTATCGGTTTTACTGAACTCATTGCTTTCGACTCAAAACATATGAGGAAAAAATTTAAAAATTTATACATATAGTAAGACTATATTCTGATCTCATCGGCACTAGATCCTAAATTTGTCTGCTATATATTGCTAAAATGAAAAAGAAAAAGAGAACTTAAACATACCAATGGTTCTTTTGCAATGTAGAACTGCTTCATAAATGGAGCTTTCAGAATCACAAGACCTGCGCCAATTATCAACAGAATAAGCTACACTTGTCCTGGGAGATGTTGCTGGAGAATATTCCCACTTCTTCACTTCCTTTCCACTTCTGCACCTACCAAGTCTACATCTTCTTATTTTTTGGCAAAAAGGCCTCAAAAAATCCAAATACTTGAGCAAAACTCGCCTTGACAAAGTCCGACATCTTCTCAACGATACACAACGATTCACCCTCCTAGATGAATGTGAATCGTTCAGTGTGACTGAAGATGTCGGAGAATTTGGGATGGAGTCGGAACTAATTACATCGTAATCAGATTCCAACTTCATCGGCTTCTTGACGAAAAGAGGCATCAAGAAACCATTGGAGATGAGTTCATCAGCATGAACAAGAGTTAAAGGAGATTCAGAAGTTGGAAAATCAAAGTTCAAATCTTGTGGATTAACATTAAAGAATCTCTTTGAAGGAGGAAGTGTAGGATCCATCTCAATAAAAGCAGTTTCATAATCATCTGATGCATCCATAGATGCTCTAAAAGAATCTCCCAAATCCACTAACCAACTATATGAAAAGCTCTCAATAGAAAGAGACTGTGAAGTTTCCATCTTTTTGATATTCTAATTGATTGCAGATATTAAGGATCAGAGAAGGAAAGGCTCTGTAGAGATTTAAGGAATAGAAAGAGGGGACTTTTCATGCATATATATATGGAATAAATTCTGTGTATATATGTAAAGCAGTAGTGATTGAATTATGCACTATCCTTTCCCTAACAATAACATATGGGGTGGTCCGTGGTCAACTACAGACAACTTCAATTAATAACTGAAAACGAAATGAAGAAAGAGTAATGAAATAGAAAGACAAACCCCATATACACCCACGGTAGTTGCCTTACATTACCTTAATTTAGTATACTATTTATATTCAACTAGTTAACTTCACATACAAGTTGGTGAATATTGCCACTTTCTTTTTATGTTCTATTCTTGAAGAAATTAATTCTCCCCTGTAATGCTTATATAACGACTTCTAGACTGCCCATAACCATGCAACGCAAAAATATCCTATAAATACTTTGTCCTACCAGTAATAGTTTATACTTTATTCCACATTGTATTCTTGATATATTAATCCACTAAAACAACATGCTCATACTGCCAATCATAACCATGCATTACATTGTTAACACAACAAAAGCACAAACAGTTTTTCAGAGCATCTAAATGAAAACTTTAAAGAGTAAATGTTTCTTCTGATTCCAAATTCTGCTGTCAAAATCGTTAGTCCTTGTTGTGGTAAATACTACTCTGCTGCGGATTTTCACCTTTTTGGAGTCATAGCTAGGAAAATAACATGTATGCTTCGGTGATAAAAGAATATAATAAGAAGAACATGATATTTTAAGGATATTATTGATGTTTATAGGTATATATATCAAGAAACAAAGATCTTCGATTTTTATTTGTTTCTTATTTAACATTCCCCCTTCCTTTCATGACAGCAAAGACAACAATCATTTCCATGGAAATGTGAAAGCATATCTTGATTTTACATACTATAACCTATAGCCATATCAAGAACTTTTGTACCATTCATTGGTGGATGCATCTGCAATCCAAACAAGGAAATATCAGAACTTCTCTTGGTAAAGAAATCTCAAGCTTTTACATCCACCAAACGCCTGAGTGGTGGCAATTCAACCGTTCACATTTTTTTGATGCTGAAGAGGATTGTCTTTTTCTTTTGGAAATTTGCACAACAAATTATTTACAAACAGCACAGAGAAACAAAAAAACCAAACAAAGGTCCCCACGATTGTCGGAGAAAGAGATTGACATTAAGGAAGCCCTTAGGGAGCAAAACCAGAAACTTGAAAGTGACTTAAAACCAAATGGTCCCCTCTCATTGTCTCCTGGGGTCTAAAAGCAATAGCAAAATATACAAATATTCTCAAACAATTAAGTTAGCATATAATTGTCTTCTAATGTGGACCAGTAGCATGGTGTAGGCAAACACTTTATCACCACAAAATATGACCCCCCAAAAGAATAATAAAGATAAGAGTACATTAGATGTCATCAAATTCTTTTAGGACTGTAAAGGTCACTTGATTTTGCAATGAGCTGAGGGCACTTGAAAAGTCTGGAAAATGTCATCTATAAACATGAATTCTACTGTGGCCAAGTCTTGAAGCAGTAGATAGATAGAACCATAATGACTTTAAGGTAAGTTAACCAGGTAATTTTGGAATTAGAGCCTTAAAATATGGTGTTACTAGACAACAAAAAAGGGCCAAAAATTAAGTCATTTACCATTCTGTCATATTTCTCTTGATGTTGTGCATCCCCTGTTCAATGATTACACACACAGGATTCCCAGACACAGAAATCGGAGAAATATTTTGTCCAACAATGTCAAAGAAGCATGGACTGCAAAGCAGAAAATTTCAGAACCAAATATTCATAAGACAGAGTATTTAACTCATATAAAGCAACATATATCAAATTTAAACGAGAAATGTCATTTTACTAAACAAAGAAATACAAAGGTTTTCCAAAGGATGTGCAACCGCATTGATGCTAATAAGTTACTCCCTCTATTTAAAAAAGATTGGCATTATTTTCTTATTAGTCTGCTCCAAAAAGATTGACACCTTTCAATATTTCCTTAATAGGAAGTATTTACAGTCACACAAATGTTATGGCAGGTTTCAAACCAAAAGTTTCAAAAGTTCTGCAGCCACACAAATGCAATGACTTATTTAAGACCACATATCTCAAAAGTCTTCCCCTTCTTTATTAAAATTTGTGCCAAGTCAAACTAAAGCAATCTTTTCGAAACGGAGGGAGTACAGAAACAACACTGATTACAACTCCTAGGAAATAGGAATACAAGTGCAAGTACCTTTGGTAAATTAAAATGTGCCAAGGCAAATGCAATCAAGCTCACCAAGACTGAGCACCATACAGGCTTATACGTTAAAAAGGATGGGAGAAGAAACCCAAGTAAAACAAATACGGAGAAGGTCCAAATATACCCTTTTATTTTTGAAAATGGTCTAAGAATACCCCTCGTTATACTATTGGGTTATTTATACCCCTGCAGAGTCGTACTTTAGATTCAAATATACCCCTCATTTAATCGGAGTGACACGTGTCATCGTCTTATTGGCCAATTCTAAATATCTCTTAATTAATTAAAAATACTCATTATCCATACCCGAAAAATAATTTTATAAAGCAATTTTTTTTTGTAAAAACTAGAAAAAACTGGTTTTTTTTTTTTTACTAAAACTGAAAAAAACGAAAAAATATTTTTTTTTCATTTTTTACAAAAAATTCTACTTCAAAAAAACTGAAAAATATTTTTTTAAAAAATATTTTTGTAAAAACTGGAAAATAAAATTAAAAAATAATTTTCTAAAGCAATTAAAATCCGAAAAAACTGAATGTTTTTAAACTAAAAACTGAAAAAAAGAAAATATTTATTTTTTCAGTTTTTACAAAAATATTGTTTTAAAAAATATTTTTCAGTTTTTTTAAAGCAATGTTTTTCTAAAAACTTAAAAAAAATATTTTCGATTTTTTCAGTTTTTACAAAAATATTGCTTTAGAAAATTGCTTTTCAGTTTTTGTTCTTTAGTTTTTACAAAATAATTGCTTTATAAATTATTTTTCAGTTTTTTTAAAGCAATGTTTTTCTAAAAACTTAAAAAAAATATTTTCGATTTTTTCAGTTTTTAATTGTTTTAGAAAATTATTTTTCAGTTTTGTTTTCCACTTTTTACAAAAATATTGTTTTAAAAAATATTTTTCAGTTTTTTTTAAGCAGAGTTTTTTGTAAAAAATGAAAAAAAAAATTCGTTTTTTCACTTTTTAGTATAAAAAATCTATTTTTTCAGTTTTTACAAAAAAATAAATTACTTTATAAAATTGTTTTTCAGGTATGGATAATGGGTATTTTTAATTAATTAGGAGATATTTAGAATTGGCCAATAAGACGATGACACGTGTCCGTCCGTTTAAATAAGGGGTATATTTGAACCCAAAGTATGACTGCAGGGGTATAAATAACCCAATAGTATAACGAAGGGTATTATTAGATCATTTTCAAAATTATAGGGGTATATTTGAACCTTCTCCGAAACAAATATCCTCCCAAATGGGGACCCAAATTGAAACCACCACAGCATTGCAATAAATGAATATTCAACATTTGAAACTATGATGAGTAGCTAAGGATGTATTGGCAAGAGATTCTAGTTCACATGTAAGAGCCAGTTGACCATGGAAAACATTAGGCAGCCCAAGATTACCTCGAAGTGCCACTTGTCATCAATGCTATATGTGAACCTATAAGATGGAAGTGGACAGATCCTCGGAAGGCGGTGATGGAGGATCACAATACCAGCAAAGAGTGCAAGACCTTATGAAACATCAGTTAATAAACGCTTGCCCTCGATACTCTTTCCGAAATCTGCTGAATGAGTTCAGAGTGTGGAATTATTCAAGACCCAATGGACCAAAACGATGGGATTCACGGAAGCATTACCTGTGAATTCCTACCAAATTTTCAGAATAGAGATTGTCCAACCACTTCTGAATTCCTACCAAATTTTTCAAAAGTAAACACGGTGACACTTAACCCTAAAGCGCGCCGGTAAATTCCATCATACTAAACCAAATAACATGAAATGAAAATAATGAGAAATTTAGATAGGAATTGAGCTACGAAACAAGCCAAAGTAATTCAGAAAACATTTTGAAAGCATTTATTTGCACATTAACAGAAAAGCTTCCATATACAAGATGTATACCCTTTTGAAAGCCACCAAAGAAAAAAAAAATGGCTTCCCAGAGAATAGTAGGCTTAACATAATATTCATCCATTATATGTTAAATCTCATAATTGAGAATTAGAATGAAAAAACTAGTCTGAAATTTCCAGACAAGATTAGTCCTGATTTAGCACTCAAATCCTTCATATCAACAACAACCCACTAAAATCCCACAAAGTGGGGTCAGGGGAGGGTACTGTGTACGCAGACCTTACCCCTACCCCGATGAGGCAGAGATGTTGTTTCCGAGAGACCCTCGGCTCAGGAAGACAGAAATAAAACAAGAAGAGACAATATATCAGTATCATCAACAGAAACCACATAAAAAGTACATCATCATAAAAACCATAAAATAGATTGTATGCAATAACAATAACCAGTAATCAAGTCCCGGAGCTATAAAAAACAAAAAGGATAGCGTGGACACAACAATAACCACTAGCCATCTAAGAACAACCCTATCAAATCAGCCTCACCCCCGGTATAAAGTAGAAAAAGCTCGACTACCCCCTAGCCTACAACCCTAATGCTTGACCTCCAGACCTTCCTATCAAGAGCCATATCCTCAAAAATCTGCAGTCGTGCCATGTCCTGCCTGATCACATCTCCCCAATACTTCTTATGCCGCCCTCTACCTCTTCTCGTACCCACCAAAGTCAACCGCTCACACCTCCGCACGTGTCCGAACCATCTGAGCCTCGCTTCCTGCATCCTGTCATCCACAGGGGCCACATCCACCTTCTCCCGAATATCTCAATTCCTAATCTTATCCATCTTGGTGTGCCCGCACATCCACCTCAACATCCTCATCTCTGCTATATTCATCTGGATATGAGAGTTCTTAACCGGCCAATACTTTGCCCCATATAACATAGTCGGTCTATACACCGCTCTATCAAACTTACCTTTGAGTATCGATAGCACTTTCTTGTC